CTCCCCCCCCCCCCAAGCCTCAACACCCACACGCCCCCTGTCCCCCCCCCAGTCTCAATACCCACACTCCACCTAGCCCCCGCAAGTCCCAACGCTGCCTGGCAAATACCAGCCATGGGCAGCCAAAGAGAATCTACTATGAGCCAGGAGCGTTTTGTAGGTCTTTCGATAAAATCAATTGAAAACGACCAGTGTAAAGAAATGGATTTTACTGACATAATTGAAGAATGTGCTGCCAAAAGAGCTAAACAGCTATAGTAGACTTAAATAATAATTAAACATTTTAATTTGTAATGCAGAATTGTGTTTAAGAATGAATTACAATATAATTAAAATAAAAATTATCCAACTAAATTAAGTTTCTATCAAATTTACCCAATTCACACTTAATATGAAAAATAGCCTTCAATTTGTGCATTTGACGCCTTTTTTCTATTTTGTCTCCAAAGGGGGGCCCCGCAAAACTCTCATCCGTCCCTGAATACATGCAGGGAGCTGGCTTTCAAGCCAGCTCCCCTCATGTATTGGCTCCCCCAGGGCTCCCCGCCCCTCCTTTCTGGGGGGGGGGCGGGAGCCAGTGCTGAGGAGAGCCGAGGGAGGGGCGGGGCAGGGGAGGCTGTTGTGAAGCAGCCTCCGTGGCGGGGGGGAGCTCCCTGTGGACAGGGGTTGCTCCATGGGAGTGTAGGGTGATAGGCAGCTGGTCTGCACAGGGAGCTGATTTTGAAACTGGCTCCCTTCATGGACTGGCTCCCTCCTGCCATCCCACGCTGCTGCCTCTGATACAAAGGCAGCAGGGCATGGTGGCAGGGGGCTCTCAGGGAGTGGGGCTGGGAGCGCACTGGCTGCTGACCCCATCCCCGGGGACTACCAAATAGTTGTGTAACTGCTAAGGTTTCATGCAATTACACAACTTCAATTACACACTAACATCCCTTGTAGAAATAGCTTAAGTCAATGGTTCTTAAAATGTGGGTTGGGACTCCAAAATGTGTTATGAACCATTTTAATGGTGTTGCCAAGGCTAGCAGTAGACTTGGTGGGGGCTGAAGCCTGAGCCTTGGCCTTTAGCTTTGTCCCTCTTACCTCTACCTCCCCCTCTTCCCCAGGGAAGTAGAGCTCTGGCGGGCTCGGACCTCAGTCCTCCCCTCCTGGGATGGTGTAGTAATTTTTGTTGTCCATAGGGCATTGCGGTGCGATGAAGTCTGAGAATCCGCTGGCTTAAGTGATGTAGAGATGTGTCTGCAGAAAGCCTAAAACATTAGCTCTAAGAAATTTGAACTATCCCATTCATCTCAGTGAGGTGGTAACTCAGATGGCCAAGTGATTGTATTTTAAACTTTGCCTATAGTTTGATTTACATTACAAACAAGGGACAGTTATGCTTATGTTACTTAATATGAAATCAAATAAAAAAGAAAATCATCACTACCCTCAGATAAGGATGTTAGTAAGAATTAATTTACTAGTTGAGTGGTTGATGGAATTTCCATCGACCACTCGACGAGTCGATAAGCACTTCCGCATTCCCCCTTTGAAATGTACAAGACCCCCTGCTGGGGCTCTTGTACATTTCAAAGGAGGAATGCAGAACTCTGCAAGCATCCCGGGGCCAGCAGAAAGTCCCACTGACTCCAGGCTCCATGCTGGTGCCAGCTTTGAAATGTACACGAGTCCCCAGCTGAGGCTCTTGTGCATTTCAAAGTGGCAAAGCAGCATGGAGCCCGGGGTCAGTGAGAGACTGAGAGTCCCCTGCTGATCCCAGGCTCCATGCTGCTATGCCGCTTTCAAATGTCATGCAGAGCCAGGGTCAGCTGGGGACTCTGCAACTGATCACAGGCTCTGCATGGCATTTCAGCAGAACCGGGCTCAGCTGGGGATTCCGAAGCTGACCACAGTTCTGTGCACCATTTCCTCAGAACCCAGAGTCAGTTCGGGAGTCCCTAGCTGACCCCGGGCTCCACGTGCAGCAGCACCACACAGCTGATCCTAAGCTCAGCTGTGCAACTCTGCCACTTTGAAACGTGGAGGTGGTGTTTCAAAGGGGCAGCACCGCACAGCTGAGCTGGGGATCAGCTGTGTGGCCCTGCCCCTTCAAATGCCACCTCAGTGTTTCAAAGCGGCAGCACTGCATAGCTGATCCCAGGATCAGCTGTGCAGTGCTGCTGCTTTGAAGTACGTCCTTTTCCTCCCCCTTTGCTGCCCATACCTGATAGAGGCAGCAAGTGTGGGGGGAGAGAGGGGGAATTGACTAGTTGATTAGCATTTGCTTATCGGATAGTTGACTAGTCCTTAACATCCCTACCCTTGGAGTATATATATCATCATCCTTTCTAACAACTCAAGCTAGTAAACGCACTAAAATGCATATTATCCACATATAGCTTAGCTTTGAGATGCTAAACAAATCTTTGAGTCACCTAGAAATAGTATTTTTAAGGAGAGCATGACTAATACAATATTTACTGACACTGGAAAGGAGAGTAAAAGGCATTCACTAAGACTTATAGCGTGTCTCTGGGGAATAGGACCCATGCTGTTAAACAGGTAAAAGTTCTCCTGGTTTGAAACTTTCACCTTGTGTGTGTCACGAACTCAAAGAGTAGAAGCCCCAGAACAAATTAACATAAGGCTTCAGGGTTTATAGATAGATACATGTTTCAAAGAGCTTGCAAATAAGGTTTCATCCTACAAAACTAGCTAGAACTAATACTTCTGACTCATAAGAGCCAGAACTCTACCATATAGCAAAGATCTGTGATTAGGGTCACATGAACCAGTATTTTTTAAATACTTGTTTTGTACCTGCATCAAGAAAAGGGGTGACTTCTTGTTTACTTTTAAAAAAACTGTAATATTGATGTTTGTGGTATGCTTTTTAAATGTTACGAAGATAAGTAGAAGACTCCAGTCCATTAAAACTGTTAACTTATTTTTATGGTGTTTCTTCTTGTAAATTAAAACTCTCTGTGCCACAAATATAGCATTTTTAAAGAAAAATAGCAGAAACCTCTACTTTATCTGAAATAAAATCACAAAATGCTATATAGAAAATCTGTCTTGTGTTTTGTTCCCTAGCAGGCTTAAAAACAAATGCTCTGTGATATAAAGTTTTTTTTTTCTGGCACTGGTGGGTCACAGGATACTAGACCACACTGGGACTGAATGATCTTTTCCATAAGCAAACACCTGTCCTGGTCCCTGATGCAGTCACAGCCAGGGCTACTCCCTGTAGTGCAGTTGTAATGGAGTTATGCTGCTGGGTATGTATGCTTGAAGATCAAATGAGTATGGATGCCAGAGCAGCTGTGGAGGCAGAGGGATTCTGTGGGGACTGCTGTAACCAAGGATCCTCATGGTTCAATGGTGGATTCTGTAACCCATTCTGTGAACGAATAGGGGAGGCAAACTCCATCCTCCACAACAATGACATTTTTCTTTATGTGAGGTGACTCCTCCTCCTGCATGCTCCCCTAGAAGTTTTAAGAGGAAGTGGTGGCAATAAGAACTGTATTAATTCCAAAGGCTGCTCTATTAGAGCCCTCAGTTGTTCCTTACAGTTTATTTCAAACATTTAGTTCGATCTAGTTTTAGATAGCATGAGGTGAGATTTTCAGAAGCATTTCCCCTCTATTGAGGTTGAAGTTAAATTTTACCATTGACTTGAATGGAAGCAGAAATAGAACCTTGGTACAATTCCCATTGACTGCAATGGGAACAGAGGTGATGTCTGCACTGCAGAGCTTTTCTGGGATACCAGAGGTATCATGGAAAAGCTCTGCCACGTCCATGGAACATGTCTGCTTTTTTGGAACAGTTTCCAAAAGAGCGGACGCGTTCTTTTGGCATCCCTGTATTCCTCATTGTATGAGGAATAAGGGATGTTCCGAAAGAGATTTTTCTGAAATTTGGCCCCGTGTAGATGGGCCAAATTTCCGAAAAGCCTCTTCAGGGGGAAAAAAAAAAAAGAAAGGAAGAAGATATGCCAATTGTGGTTTACAATTTGCATATCACTTTCCGATATAACTCTGCAGTCTAGACATAGCCAGAGTTAAGCTAGTCCTGACATTTTTTAAAACCCTACCCTGAAAGCACAGGTTTTATAAATGTAAAAATGTAAAATGTTCAACTTCATTTTCTTTAGATTTCAGTCAGATATTTATTGAAAACAAACCTAAAGCATTATTTTAATCCTAATCACACCAACTACAAATGGTCACGCTATATATACACAAAGCATATAGATTGAAACCTACCCCTTTGTGAGCAAAATTCCCACCTCACTATAAAATAATATATCAAATTTGCCAAAAGATTCCAACATGAGACAATAACTCAAAAGAAACAAGTGTAAGTTTATTGGACTCCAACATTTCTTAGTCAAAATCTAAGTAAAGAAAACACACAGTAGAAAAAGGTCATACAAAGCAGCAATGGATTTACATTACATTAAAGAGTTATCCTAAACTACTAATTTTCAGTCTTAAAAAAGTAAAAGCCTATAATTAAAATCCAACACTGATGTAACTGAACCAATATACAATGGCAACATGATATACAGGATTATAAAACAGCTTTTATTTGTCTTAATTCTATAACACTTTAAAATGACAAGTGATTTTACGTAGCTTTAAGTTGGAAAATACTAGTTTGCATGTTTATGTTGGATTACTCAAGCTTCCACAAAGTGGAGACCATACACTACAAATGATCACACTATCACTGGTTTTCTTTCTTTCTTTCTTTTTTTTTTTTTTTAAAAGGGACACTGTCAAGGTTAGACCCCGAAGGTTTTGGTTTCGTAACCATTCATACATTTTCAAATATTGTATTTTTAAAGAGTGTTTTAAATTTAACACTCAGCTGTAGTGATGGAAATCCAGACACTGTATGTGTGCCACTGTATGAGAACTAGAAAGGGGAACTGATGTGTCTGTTTTAACTGTCTCAGAATAGCAAAAATACAACAGGCAAATGTGGATCCAAGCCACAAAGCTAAGATTCATATTTCAGACACATTGCCAAAGTTTGAGAGTATCCCAGTTTGGGATTTTTATGCCCAAACATTTTAAATGTTAACCACTGGGTTTTAAATATATACTAGTTTGATTAATATAAAGTATTGTTAACATTTACAGCATGTTTATCCCGATAGTACAATTTTTGTCACAAGTCATTTTAAACAATCAAGAATCAATAGGACCTAAAAACAAAACAAAAACCCAAATACTATCAGGCTGAGTTCAACACAGTTTTTTTTAACACTGATTCATTAATTACAACTTAAAAGAAATCTATCTTGCTTTGATTTTCATCTAGATCTTCTGGTAAGAAAATGTAAACAGACAATAGGCACATGCCAGATTTTATAGGCACATGCCAGATATTTGCACCATAACAGCTAAGGACTTAGGGCCATATGCTATTCTTGTCTCACACAGGAACTTCCACTGATGTCAATAGATTTGGGAAAAATCTTAGTATAATTCAAATCTGGAAGATACTTGCACTTTCAACTTGGGTAAAGAGCCCTCAGGCATGTCAATGGGAGCTTTGCCCTAGGAGGGAATGCAGGAGGCTGGTCCCCTACAGCTGTATGTTTTGGTTCACTGGAGGGTTGTAAGGCTATATAGTTATGTTCTGAAACAAGACTGACAACTCAAGTGTAATCGCTGAAGTTCAACTGTCTATTGTTTTCTTGAAAAAAGTTACAAAATAGCACTACTGTTTCATGCCCTTTGTCTATTTTGGTAAAATTGCAGAATTACACACTAGCTATTTATGTAGCCTTTATTCAGAAGAATATTCACTTATAAAAAAAGTTGTTTCTACCATTTAAAAGTCCAAAACATGTAATTATTTCCATTGCTTACTTTGAGTGGTTTATTGTGGGTCCCATTCAGCACAGCATTTAAGAATATACTCAATGCTAATCACATTCTAAGACTATAGTGGGAATCAAGCATGTGCTTAGCCGAATCAGTATCTACATGAATTAGCGTTACTTCACAGGCCCAATCCTGTTCCCACTAAAGTAAATAGGAATTGTCACTTACTTCACAGAATCATAGAAGATTAGGGTTGGAAGAAAGCTCAGGACAAGGTCTAGTTCAACCCCCTGCTCAAAGCAGGACCAATCTCAACTAAATCAGTTGGAACAGCTGAGCCTCTGTCAAATTTTGTTGATGAAGGACAAAACAAACCAAGAAAGAATTAAATTCTGAATTATATATTAAAACATCTGCATGTTTCTGTCAGGCCATGAAAAAAAGAGTACAAAACTTCAACGTTTAAGAGAAATCATACAAACTTTCTGCAATTGTTAAATAATTATACAAAAAGCCAAGGCCTTTAGTATCCACAGTTGCAAAACTAAACAAAATATAACGAAGACAAGGGTTTTTTTTGTATCAATAAATTTACCTATTATTCTTGTATGGCCAAACTAGACATTCTTTAAAAGACCTTTATTGTATAAACAAGTAACTAACATTTTATTCCATATTTTAACTTTTCTAACATATATTAAAATTACACGTGGCAGCATATTTATTCCATATCCTCCAAAATAAACACTTCTGTCTCAGGGCTTTTTAAGATACCATATAAAAGCTAATAGAAAACCAGAATTGCTGTATAAATATCTCATATTTAAAATTTTATTTAGAGATCCTGTATTCCTTTATTGGACAACAAACAGGAACTAATTTTAAAAAACACAGAACATGCTCAAAATTAAAAACTTTTAAAAAAATAATCTAACAAACTTAAAAAACCCTAGTTATATAATTTTTTCAATACATATTACACTTGGAAAAAGTCAAGATTTCTTCAAAATGTAGCACAAAAGTTGTTAAATGTATGCTATTTATAATCTTACTATCCCAAAAATGCATCAAAGAAGTGCTTCAGTTGAAAATTAGGATTATTCGATAGCTGAACTGGTCATCAGATTTTCTCTTAGAAGGGTATATTCATTCTTAGAAGGGTAGGCACAGATTATCAACAAACTAAATGGAAATATCATTCTGTTTTGTACGGGAATCAATGGTGAAAACTTAGGAATCAATTTTAAAACCTTGCTTTCACATTTTGTCCACATAGATTTCTTCCCCTAAAAGACATTTAATGTAAACACAAAACAATTATTTAGTTGTGTTAAATAGATTTAACATGGTTTTATTTCATTTTGCTTTAGTAACTACTAGTTTATGCTGAAATTATGTTGCATTAAATGATTTAGTTTTGTTAGTTGGAATAAAAAAAAAAAAAAAAAAAAAAAAAAAAAAGAGTCACATCCAGAAACATCACCTAAAAAAGATAACATAGGAACCTTATATCATAGAATCATAGGGTTAGCAGGGATTTCAAGAGTCATCTAGTCTAACTGCAGTTTTGATTGCACTTTGCAGCTATAAAACCTTGCAGATTAGTGTAAATCATATTTTCACAATTTACTTGGAATAAGGAAAAACACCTATGGGTAGGTGTTAGTGTGCTTAAGTTACTGTTTTAGGTTGTGTTTTTTTTTTTAAATCCACCATATTGTATCAAGAGCCTTTGTAGCTAATTATTGCAGTTTGCTGGTAGTTGAAAGTCCAAGGGTCATATTTTGCCATCTCTTTTTAAAATGAACTTCACACAAAAAAATAAAGTGCTGTTTTAAAACAAACAAAACAATTGATGGCAAATATGGTCTTTGATTGAGCAAGATATCTAAGGACATGCCTAAGTCAACAGGCTATTTCAGTAATTTAAAGTTAGGCACCCATGCTCCACCTTCCTGAATCAGGGCCATGGGTCCTGAATATTATTATCATCTATATTTTGGGCCTCAGTCTACATTCGTTGTGAATTCTATGGAAATTCTGGTTGCTGAAGGAATGCAGTATCAGAAACGTATAGGACTAAGGGCTTGTTCCTGCTCACAATGAAGTCAGCAACAAAACCCCTGTTGACTTCAGTGAAAGCAGGACTAGACCCTAATTACACAGTATTGAAGGCAATATTTTATTTTTCTTTTCCCATCTGAAGCTGGCCTGGATCCAAAATGGACGGTCAAGTATTTCATCTATGTACATTCTCACTGTTTATTCTAATCAAATTTCCACTCAATTAAATTTAAAATACCAGCAGCAGCAGAAAGATAGTTTTAACTCTGAGCTCCTAAATGAGAGAAGCACATTGACAAAAGTAGCTGGAAAACCTCTTTCTGGACCCTTGCCATAGTTTCTGGCAAATATCCAATACTGATGATGCCAACCATTCCAATTGTGATGGGAGGTAACAGAATGGTACCACACTTTAAATATGTTTAACCATTATTACCATGATTTTAAACAAACCCAAATAAACACTTCTAACAGAAAGTATCAAACAATAGAAAGTGTCAGAAAAGAAACAAATATTCTATATATTGTATTTACAAAATCCAATGATTGTAGTGTGGTGCTTTTTCCTCTGCTTTGAACTGGATATGTATGTTCAATACAAAATTTAAATACATATTTTGTTCATTTATACAAGTGTCTATGTAAATATTTACATTTAATTAAAAACATTTTTGTGCTAATAGCCACTTTTACTGCCACACACGGGAGTTTATTTCACAACCCTTTTCTTATACAAGCTTCTGCTGTTCAAAGTAATATATTCATACATTCTATTGTACGGAATTGCACACAACAATACAAACCAGAGGAAACAAACTTTGAATTGTTTAACATCCATTCAACTTAGTTCATATTTATAAACAGTACTGTTGTTTGCACGAATGCTGCTTTATTACAATGTTTGTAGTTACTAAAATACCTACAGTAAATTAGCCTTTGGGGTGTTATATAAAGCAGCATATATTTTTTCCAGTCTTCCTTAGAAATTTTATTTAAATGGCTAAAACAGGCTTGCTGCTACTTTTTATATAAAATCCAAGTTAATATTGCTGATCTTAGATACTATTGATTTTCCACAAGTTCTATTAAAGAACAAAACAATTCCACATTACCATAAAATACCAAACATTCATTCCCAATAAATGACAGGGTAATTCAAACTTGAGGTTTATTTGTTATTGCTAAAACATTACTAAAATCTAGATTACTGAAGAAAAGTATTCCATCCACTTCTTTCCTAACTTCAAGTGCAGTGCTAATATTTATATGGCGTTCATGTGTTCATTTTACTCAAAACAAGAAGTTGGTTACAGTATTTCATTACTATAAACTCACAGTTAGAAGCCACATTGTTGTTCCTTTTTTGTTTTTAATCTATATTTATATATATTGACACCACAGGATGAGGATCCATGCATACAATCAAGATGCGATTGGATTTCAATGTTAATGAAATTAAAATTATGCTATTATAAGATCCCAGACCATACTTTAAATTATTCAGATTTCAATCTACTAACATCAAAGTTAGTTTACCTTAATCTTCAAATCCAAGCAGCATCATAAATCCATTTGTACTTTTTTGATGTTTCTTGTCCTTTTAGATTTCTAGTTTATATAGCGTATTTCTGAACTATCCAGGAAATGGTCTCCATTTAGCCACTTTTTTAAACTGCCTGTTGAAGATCAGTAGCTAATTGTGTGTCTGTTCATGGCTCCAAAGACTAAATGCAGTTTTGAATGTCCTGTGACAAAGTTTACACATATATTGTCTTTTGAATGTGATTGCTGACAGTGGTGGAGCATGATAAAAGAGCGTATCCGATTCTTGTGGAACGAATAATTTCTCAGTAGTAGTTGGGCTCTCAGATAAACGTGTTGGACTATCAGGCTCTAAGGGCTGGATTTTAGGTAGAGGTGGGGGTGGAGGCAAAGGTGGTGGTGATGGGGAATTAGCTGGTGGACATACCTCGGGATCTTTATTCACCGATTCTTCTGCAGCCTGTGACATATGAGATTGGAAGTGGCTCCACAGACGGAAATTGGTCCGGAAGGCCTTGTTGCACACATGACAAATAAATGGTTTTACAGAGCACAAAAGCTCCTGGTGACGCTCCAACTGTTTGTGTACAGTAAATATTTTCCCACACTTTTCACAGGGCCATAAGCCACTGTCTTTATTAGAAACAACTTCCTTAGCTTCTCTACTGGTTTCAGTTACCTCATCCTCTATATCATCTGGAGGCTCTTCTTTTACATGAATTTTAAACTGTTTGGAAACACTCAGATCTTCTGGGAGGCATGAAGAATCTTCAGAATCAAAATTAATTTGTTCCGAAGAATCACTGAATACTCCATCTTCCTTTGCCATAACCAAATTGTTCATTTTATTAGATTCTGATTGAGAATTTACTCTTGAAGCACTAGTTATTTCACCATTGTGATCAAGAATAGGTAAAGAAAAATTCTCTGTTGGGGCCATGGTATTCTGATTGTGAACTTCAACTTGATGACGCCAGATGCTAAAGGATGATTTAAAAGTGCGCATACACTCAAGACAAGTGAGCTTCTTATATTCACACTTGCTTTCATGTTCATGCTTCAGCTCTGGAGAAGAAAATCTAAGGCTGCAATAAGGACAGACTGTTGCATTTCTACAAAGTCGCTCATGATTTCCCTGTTCAATAAGAGAGGAGAGCTTAGCATTACAAAGACGGCACTGATAGACCTCTTTGTTTTCAACTGGACTTGCAATATGAATTTGCTCTTTTTGCTTAGAAGCCTTATTTCCTACAATTGGTTTTTCCCCTGGATGCATTTTTATGTGCTGTTTAAATTGAGAGAGAAAACGATAAGCTTTCCCACAGTAGGTACAAATGTAGGCTCCTTTGGATCTTGATCGTAAGTTCCTCTTGATGACTTGCTGTGCTTGTGAACTGGACTGTCCCTGAAAACCTTGTTTGCCACGTCGTAGTTTAACAATTAGCGCTTTTTTAATCTCTCTCTCTCTCACAATATCAATTAATTTTCTTTGGAATTTTTCATCCAAGACAGCATGTGAACTGGAAGCAGGTGAGGGGTTCTTCACAATTCCATGTTGTGTCTGGCAATGAGTCCATACCTTGAAGTTTGTGTGAAATCTCTTATGGCATATATCACAAGCATATGGTTTCTCTGGATTATGATACATATTAACATGACGGTGAAGGCCTGCTGTAGATCTAAAAATCTTAAGGCAGTGCTTGCATTTGAACTTTCTGTTTGGTCTCACTTCTTCCAATTCACTGTATTCATCTTTACTGACATCAGAATCTGGAAAGTCAGCATCAAGACGTGTAGGACTTGAACTTTCCTCAAAGTTATCCTCTGACCCAGGAGAACCATGCTCATTCACTTTTAACTTTTTAAATGGCAGCCTTTTATCTGCTTGAAACCTCCTTTTTGCTGGAAGTCTACTCATATCCCTATTATCATCCTCAGTTTTAAAAGAGAACTCTTTACTGGCAGATGTTGAAGCATCTCCTACTGTAATTCTTATTATTTCAGAAGGCTCTGAAAGTGGGCTGCTAGGTTCAGTTTTTATGCGTACATCAGTTAGAGGAGAAGCTACCTCCCTATCAGTCGACTGAGAGGCACTAAAGGACCTAAGGCGGTGTGGGTGTATTACCTGTATCTTGTCATCAAGGACACCCTTTTCTGAGGACTCTTTGAAGGATGATTTTTGAGACACAGCATTAAATATTTTCCCCTGTGAGTCACTAGTCACCAATGATGATCCATGTGAAGTTTTAAAATCAACAGACGATGAATACATAGGAACCTGACTATCCATGGACAATGACCTTCGAAGGAGACTTTTTACAAGCGGGCCACTCCGGTCAATGCTTTGGTTTTCAGAACCAGATCCACGAGCTGGAACCACTAGTCCTAACTTGGAGTAGTACAGCAAATTCCTGTCTTCTCCTTGACCATTTCCTTTTCCTGTCTCTTGCAGCAAAAATGTAGATTCTGATGAACCATGCAGAGATAAGATTGGCGGACGTGGTCTTTTTAATGACATCTCTGCAGCTTTTCCTTTTAGAAGCTGACCACTCACTCCTGGCTCATCACATGAAGTTTCTTTCTCAGCTAAAGGCATTTGTGACAATACTGCATTCCTCTTCACTGAGCCACTTCTACTTGGGTCATCCACAGTTCCAGAAGGTTCTTGAAGTTTGGTGTAGCTCACAGGACTGTCTTTTAGCCACCTTCTGTCACTTAATGATAAACTGTGAAGTGGTTCAATTGGCTTTGTTATTTGTGGTCTATTGTTGGTTTTAACGGCAATGGAGTGCAAGGGCTTAGAACTATGGCTTAAATCATGTGTTTGACTGACATTTTTAACTTGTGTTTCATTTCTGCTCTGACAAACAATGACACTTCTTTTCTGAGAACTACTTTCATCATCTTCTTGAAACAATATTTTTTTAATGGGACATGTTGGAAAAGGAGCTTGAGGACTCTTAGAAACAATGTTAGTAAGAAAGGAAATTCCAAGGCTGTAGCCCAGTTCTTGAACAGCTGCAAGACTGCCTTTCTCAACAAACAAAGATGAAGAGTAAATGTAGTTTAATACATTATCAAAAGCATCTGGTTCACAAAAGTCAAGCTGAAACACTGATTGGGACTCATTCTCTTTATTTGTGAAGAGAGTCTGGAAGTATTCACTGCTGGCAGCCAGAACATTTTTATGAGCTCTAAATTTTTGGTCTCCGACTATAAGAAGAACATCGCATAATTGTCCTTTTAGACGCTCCTCATTCAAAGCACTTAAGAGAGAAATGGCATGTGCTGGGTTTATGTAATGCAAGAGTCCCTCCATGATTTGGGTTTATCTAAAAAATAAAAATAAAAGAGAATTATGGTCTGTTTCATACACACTTTTAAATTTTACACAAACCTACACAACTGCTTAGTTTCTGGTTAGAGTCACATGGCTATTTTTTCATTAGCATTAAAGAATTTTAAGTTTTTGAGAGATGCATGGGCATTAAAAGATCAAAGGCAAACTGTATCCACAACTCCTGTAGATACACAGGCATGAAAAACCAATGCACCTTAAATGGTTACTCTCCATTAAGATTATTATATCTGCTCAATAAGAGTAGCTATGTTCTCTTCCTGTAGCTTGAATATGCTCCTTTTTCTTTACCTAGGAATACCAGTAAGTTGAAAGACAGCAAAGGAAGTTCTCCTACCAATATTTCTGCAGACATTCAAAAAATTGCCAAAATCCTGAATAAGATCTACAATATAGGTTAATTTTTAATTGTTAACTTATTTTTGAGGCACAACAAGCATGCTAATACCCTTTTAATTGAACACATTTTGTATTTAAATGATAGTGGGGAAAAAACCTATACTAAATTATCACTGACTGGTATAATTAATTCTCTTATATTTATGAGGCAAAAAAGTATACTTTAACAACTTCTAAAGTATATTACTAAAAAATAAGCACTTGTAATTGGGCGGTCAGGTACCCTGGCTTTCTGGGAATTTCATGGCTTTACAATGCTGTCCAAGTGGTTTTTTTTTTGTTTGTTTTTTTGTCATGACTTCAATATACAGTGAACCAACCAGCTAAACTCCTTGGTTTGACTCCTTGCAACAGATGAATTTGGTGTTCTGTCCTGCTGCATTTGAGCAGTGTCCCAGAGGTTTCTTCTTATTGTATTGGTGAATTCAATGAAGCTGTAGTGCTCAAATCCTCAGGTTACACATGTATGGATAGAATTAACCTTTTTGAAACAGCATCACTCTGGAAGTTCATGTTGAGTTACTTGCCTGCTCTGACCCCTATGTGCTATTGAGAGTCACTTGTTTCTGGGATACAATACCTCATTCTATAGGTCTGACCTGTGTGGCACGATCTCAAAGCAGCACCTTGGAACTCTCGTACTCACATTGTCATACAATTATGAGTAAGGGTGTCAAATGATCAAAAAGATTAATCTCAATATTTTAATCTTGTCATTTATCAAGATTAATTGCAGTTTTAATTGCACTGTTAAATATAAAAAATAAATTGGTATTTGTTATTAAATATTTTGGATGTTTTTCTGTATATTTCAATTATAATAGAATTAGAAGCGTAGATTGTTCTAGGGATGTTAGATAGCATGTAGCTGAATAGTCATGTAACCTCAAACAATTTTAACAGTCACACAACTATTCTATAGTCCCTGGGGGTGGGGCCAGCAGCCAGTACGTTCTGGCTCCATTCCTGGGAGCCCCCTAATACCGTTCACTACTACCTCTGTATCAGAGGCAGCAGCGTGGGGTGGCAGACGGGAGCTGGTCCATGAAGGAAGCCAGATTAAAAACCAGCTCTAAAGTGACCGAAAAAACTACGCCTCAGAATTCACTGCTTAGGGTGTATTGAGCATGTGCACTGGAACTGAGCATGCTCAGTAAGAGCTGATGTTGCTGCTGCCCTCTCTCTGCCCTTACGTGGATTCAGACTCTGCTTCTGGCTCTTTACAAGCATTACAAAGGGACTCAGGGGGCAAATTGCAGTGGGGAAATGGACAGGGTGTGAGCAGAGGGCAGAAATAAACCGACTTGGGGGGGGGGGGTCAAGTAACTTTAGGGTGAGGCAGAAGAGGGGCTGGAAGGGAAAAATCAGGCAGTCGAGGAGGGAATTGGAGCTAGGGTATGGCAGGGGTAGGAGACACTGCAAGACCCTTTGTAGGTGTTATGTCCCCACACAGGAAGGGGCAAAGGGGATAACACTTATCTGGGGGAGGGGAAGGGGAAATCCACCTGCTGAGTGTTCAAAGGGAGAGCTGGGGAGGCATAAAGGGGAGGAAGAAAGGGGCTTTTATTTTCCCTCTTAGGGTGAAATGTACCAGCATGGGAGCACAGGGAAGCTTCCTGACAGTGCTCTTAAAGGTACAGCTTCCCTAATGCATTGGCTGTCTTTGCTAGCCCCCACAGTGCCTGTCTTTCTGCACTGCTATACTATAGAAGACTGAATGCCGTAGAACATCCCACATGCAAGGTGTGAGGGAGCGTGTAATACATTTTGAGGATTTAAAGTAGTCTTTTTAGTTTATATGTCACCGTGAAGTCTTCATAACAGTTCACAAGTTTGTCTTACCAGCTGCTATTATTCCCTGAATTGCACTCTCGCCCTTGTAACCCATTTTAATTATAGTTTTGCTCCTTTACAGATGTTATTTCTATTTCTCTTATTACTCTGAACACTTCATCATTTAATCTGTATTATCATTGTGCAATGCATGTCTTGGCTATGTTTATTTTTATTTTAATAGCTAACGCTCAAAATCATTCAAGTAAATAGTAGTTACTGGTTTTAGCAATTCCATCTGTGTTTCTATTATAGAATTTGCTATAGTTTTTGTATTTTGATTTGTACCGTGGAGTTTCTTTCACCTTCTTTTTATATCACAAGTTTTATTCTGTTGGGTCTGTTACTACCAATTCTGTGTTCTTGGGGAATGAGGGCATAGTATCTAGCCTACCTGACTCTTGCAAGATATCACCCCCCCAATCTTTGCTTGGGGGTGTCAAAGCTTACTGCCCCACGCTTGTGGCTAGAGTACCAGCACCTGCTTGCCCTGGTATGGGGGGAGGACTCTGAGCCTCATGGGCAGGATCCAGGAAAGCCATGGATTGCATCTGGTCCATAGGTGCTGCCTGGCAGGGGGAGGAAGTGGCTCTGTGAACAGCAGCACAGTGAAGCTCTATCCCTATGTTTGCTTGCAGGCTACATCCCAGTTTTTCCCACTGGCCAGGAATCACAGCCAGTGGGAGCATCAGGGGGGAGTTGCATGCAAGCAGAGGGCCATGCAGAGCCACCTGCCTGCCCCCGCTTCCCTCGAGAGCTGCACCAGGTAGTTCCTCCATCCCCAGAACAAAAACCTTTAGCTCCTTCCCAGATCCTGCACCCCACTTCTTACCCAGACTTCCCACTCCTCTCTTGCACCCTACATCCTACCCACATCCCACACCCCGCTCCTATAAACAAGCTTCCACCCAGACTCCCCACCTCTCTCTCCTACATTTCCCACCTTCCACATCCCGAGCCTGCTTCTGCACCCTACATCCTGGCTAAACTCTGCTCCTTCACCCCAAAATCTGCAAGCCCAGGCGTTAATATGACTGTGGGGGGAAGCCCTGGGCCTCGGTGCCTTTCCGCTCCACTTGTGAAGCATGAGTCAAGTGAGTGCATTAAAGAATAGTGATATAACAGGCATCACAGAAACATGATGGAATGAGGATAAACAGTGAGACACAATAAGACTAGGAAACAAAATATGTTGGAAGGACAGAACAGATCATGCTGTTGTGGGAGTGGCTTTGTAGGTAAATATAGGCTCAAATGAAGTAAAAATCTTACATGAATGAAGCTGTGCAATTTAATCTCTGTAGAGAATAGTTCCATCATCTATTAATAAGAATTTAGCAGTAGGGAAATATTACCGACCACCTGTCCAGAATGTTGATAGTGACTGCGATATGCTAAGGAAGAGTAGAGAGGCTCTAAAATAATTTTTTTTTTTTTTAAAGAGGGATTTCAGTTATCTCCATATCGACTGGGTACTTGTCACCTCAGAATGGGATGCACAGATAACGTTTCTTGACACCTTTAAATGATCTTGGAGCACCTGGTTCTTTGAGTGATTGCTCATGTCCATTTAAAATAGGTGCGTGTGCATATTGCTTGTGGAGTGCAGCAGCAAAAATGCTATTAGATGTCCACACGGTCAGCCGTCAGTGCATTAGCATGGTCACACTTGTGACACTTGTGAGTGGTGCATTTCCACAGAGCACTTCTTCCTCTTCTGCCACAGAGGTTTGTAAGGAGGTGCAGAGCACCCTGGGTCTTGTCCCACTGCCCCATGATGCATCACTTTGCATCCCAGCAACCCACTTTCTTCCATTTTTAGCACCATCTTTCAATGGTTTCTCTGCAGCGTGCTGTGTCTCCCCAGTGTGCAGGAATGGATCCCCAGCTGTTTGACAAAAATGTGATAGGTCTCATTTGCACATTATCCATGGCAGTTGAGTTATTCCTAAAGCTGCAAAGTGACCATGAGGCATCCTCACAGAGATGCTGACTATAGTAAAACACCACTTTGGGGCTCAGGAAACAAGCACTGAGTGGTGGGATCCCACTGTCATGCAAGCCTGGAATGATGAGCAATGGCTGCAGAACTTTCAGATGAAGAAAGTCACTTTCATGGGACTGTGTGCTGAGCTGCCAGCCCTGCGGTGCAAGGGCGTGTGTATGAGAATTGCCCTGTTGGTGGAGAAGTGTTTGGTGATCTCACTGTAGAAGCTGGGACAGTTTTTTGCTCGATCTCCAATCATTTCGGAGTGGGAAAGTTGACCAATTGAATCATGCTGATGGAAGCGTGTACAGCCATCAGTTGTTGCATTCTGCTCCGATAGACCATTACTCTAGGCTACATGCATGAAATTGTGGATAGCTTTGCACCCAAACTGCGGTGCGGTGATAGATGGCACACACATTCCAATCCTGGCACCAGACCACCTTATCTCTGAGCACATTAACTTCAAGGGGTATTTCTCCATGGTTCTATGGGCACTTGGAGATCACCATGGGTGTTTCATGGACATTACCACAGGCTGGCCCTGAAAGACATTTTTCAGAACACCAGCCTGTTCAGGAAACTGCAAGTGGGGACTTTCTTCCTGGACCAGAAGATCACCGTGGGGGAAGTGGACATGCCCATTGTGATTTTTGGAGACCTTGCCTACCCCTTAAATGCTTTGGCTCGTGAAAACTT